AGTAGTAGTAGTAGTAGTAGCACTGAGAGGATGCAGTCGTCATGCATTTCATGGCCAGGAGTTGCATGACGATGGTGCGCAAGAGGGTCACGGCAAGTACGGTTGTTTGTGATCACGATGACGGTGGTCGTGATAGTATGGCCGTTGATGGCAGTCATCATGGCGAGAAAGGAGGTGATAGTAGTCAAGTCTTGAGCTTCAGCGTCATAAGGTGCATTGTAGTACTTTCGAATGCTGGCGCTGCGAGGATGCCGACGGAAGTGCTCGAATGCTTTAGACTGCCTTGCAGGGTTCTTGGGCTCTCCGGCATTTAGCCAAAAAAGTGGCATAGGTGGTTTATGGGCTTGGATCTAGATAAGAAGCCCCCTAAGTCCCCGTACAAAACAAACACTTTTGGTTTTGGAAGCCCTACAAAACCCCGTAGAGCCACTAAGCCTTTTGGAACCCTTGTTGGGCAGCAAATTCAACCCGCAGGCCGGAAACCCTGGGCAGATAAGCAGATACCCCGCCTCCAAAAAACACGCCGGATTTTCGAACATCCGTACACCCTAATTCCTCAGCCGGTGAACCTCGCCCTCCTCAACTCCTAAATAACTTGAACCCTAGTCTTTAAACCCGAAGCCCTACTTCCCAAACCTCTGAGCTGCCCGACGGTTTAGGGTTTAGGGTTACGCTTAATGCCAGCAAGCCCTGTGCTAAGTGTGAAGGCCGTTCTATTGCGCGCCACTTTGCCGGACCCATATTGGAAACTCCCGAGCCTAAATTCTAGACCCTAAACCCTAAACCCTAAGCCCTAAACCCTAAACCCTAAGGCTCAAGCCCTAAACCCTAAACCCTAAACCCGAAACTCTAAACCCTAAACCCTAAACTCTAAACCCTAAACCCTAACTCCGAAGCCCCGGGCCCCAACATGACAGGCGGACGAGCGCACCAAGAAGCAGATCGACTTAGTCAAGCGCCAGGATGCTGGAATGAAGAAGTGCTATTGCTAGTCTAATGTAGGGTTTAGGGTTTAGGGTTTAGGGAATTACCAATACTGTTTTGGGGGTTCCTTACTGTAATTATAGTATAATGAGCACCAAAACCCTATTCTAATTACTAAGGCCCCTACATTAAGTACTGTTAGTTGTCAATTTGTTTCTCTAACTTGAGGGGTCTGAATGCTCAATACTGTTGATGATATAAATCCTGCAATACTTTAAGGACCCTAAACTATGGGAATTATGGTATATTCCTTATTATGGGTAATGCGTGATTTATGTCATCAACCGTAGTCTAAGTACAGCTAGTTGTTAATTTGTTTATTCATTATTCATTGTATGTTTGCCTGGTCGGTACCACTGTTGTTATGATTATCATTAACAATAATAGCAAGGCCAAGGCATGTTATCGTTACACCTATTGGTGTATTATGAACAGTAGAAACAGTAACATATATGATCATCGTCATTGTTGTTGTTGTTGTTGTTGTTGTTGTTGTTGTTGTTGTTGTTGTTGTTGTTGTTGTTGACATTTCTTTATCGTATGTCTGTTGTTGAAGGGATGGTCATGTCATTACAGCCCCAGCTTTCTGACTGCCGAATCAGGGACGTCTGTCCCCGAAATGCAGACTTTCGAACACGCGGGATTACCCCAAGACCCCTCAAGGCAAATCCCAAAATGGCAACACCTGAACCTGAACCCTAGTGCCGCCATCCTGAATTCTCAACCCTAACCCACCAACCCTGAACCCCAAACCTTAAGCCTAAACCCTGCACCCTCAGCACAGAGTCAAGGGTGCCTTTGAGGCTTGTATAAGTCTTACAGGGTGTAGTTTAGGGGCCTGAATTATTCGAAGAGGGTTTTTGGGGATGATGTAAGATGTTATTTCTTGCAAGGAATAATAAGGACTGTAGTGTTGACTATTCACGCCGCCTACAAAGTACCCTTGCCCTAAACCCTAAACCCTAAACCCTGAACTCTAAGCTCTAAACCCTGAACCCTGAACCCTAAACCCTAACTCACAGGAGACCCAGGCGATGAATATGCAGAAGGACATCACTCGATGGAAGCAGGCACGTCGGACGTGTGGTTCACGCTTTAATGGTCTAGACTAGAGATCAGGGTTTCCGTAAGGGTTCCTTCTAAGGGTTCTGTAGGGACTTAAGGTTTAGGGTCTACTTGCAGGCTCATGGGTAGTCAAAAGTGGGGTTGCTTGGAGGTTCATCGGTAGTTATAAGTGGGGTCATAAGTAGGGTAACTGTAATTATAACCCATATTCGGGGACTTATAAGCGGTACTATGGGGGTCGTTACAAGGTGGTTACATGGGTTATTCAAAGGCTTCTAATTGCGGCTACTACCGGGGCTTTAATTATTAGAACAGCGCTTGCGGGTTTTGTTATCGTATATGAGAAGTATGTTGAAAAACCCTAAGGAGCCTTGTTTTAACTTAGTAAGGCTCCTATGTTGCTATAGGAGCCAGTTTGATGTGCAATATTATACTAAAACACGAGCAACATGCGTAGCATAATGTAATATCATATACCACAGAAAAATAAGACGGAATAGAAAAGACTAGAAAAGGATGTAACATGTTATGTTATCACAGAGATAATGTTATATGATGTAGTGGTGCGACACAGGCCAATATAATGGAGCAGAAGATAGTATCGTATACTGTAATGTCATTTCGTATCATACAGTGTGAATGTAACACAAGTCTAACGCAATGTAACATGATTTAACTTAACCTTATATGATATAACGTAATGTGGTTTAGTGTAGTGCAACATAGTGTAATGTAGCCAATCCGCATGTAATGCCATATATATATATATATGTTATATGTGTGTGCGTATATCATCATCATGCAAAGCAGTGCTGACCATGCTATGATATAGCACAGTCTACTATGACCCACTATGCTATAGGATTATGCAATATAACATAATATATCACCAGAGACTATAGGTCAGCACAAGCAACAACAGAAAATGCATTGTACCTGGACATAAGATAGCACAGTACATATAGAACAGCAAATACTTTATTAAACTGTAGTACAGTACAGTACAGCATAGTAGAGTAGAGTAGACTATCGTAGAGTAGAGTTGAGTATAGAATAAACAAAAGTACAGGGCAGTAGTATAGCAAGTATACAGTACAGTATAGCATGCTAAAACTATACTCTACTGTACCATACTATACTTTACTATACCCTATCATATCATACTATGCTATACTGTACTGTGTTATACTCTGTGACACTAGACTAGACCAGGCTAGACTAGACTAGATCAGACTAGACCATACTACACTATGCCGTACCGTATTGTACTATACTTGACTATGCTTTGTTCATACTATGCTATCCTATACTTTACTATACACAACTATACTCTACTATACCCTACTATACTATACTCTGCTATACTCCATTATACTGGACTGTGCCATGCCAATAGACTATATACTTTATACTTTATGCCATATACCATATACTATTATACTACATGCCATATACTACAATGCAAAGGTACAGTATTACATTATATATGATAACAATCACATGAGCACAAAAAACCAGGATGCGCAAGATTTCCAGAAGCGCATCATGGAGCTAGAGAAGCAGCGAGAGAAGTACGGCATCGAGCTCTCCCAGGCACCCCCTCAATATTTTGAATAGGGTTTTACGGTGTAGAGTTTCGGGGTACACTACGCCACAATTCTATGATTGATCAAGAAGATTCCTGGTCTCGGCAGTTTTGATTGGATCTCTCCTGCAACGGGTTTCAACAAGAGCCTTGAAGCAAGACACATGCTGCTCAGACTCAGCTGGACTTCTTTTCATTTTTTTGCGGCCCTGAGTTCAAAGTTAAAGGATCTACGAGGTCGTAGAAGGTATAGGGTCCCGGGCATAGATTGTGTTTAGAGTTGGGACGCATCAAGGGTTTCTTGCTCCGAGAGACGTGCTGTCGGTGGTTGTGGTAGTAGTAGCGCTATAAGTCTAGTAAAGTAGCAGTGAAATTACGTTGCTATTACAAAATGATGAATGCCGTCGCAACCGTAAGCTCTGGCGCCCTAGCACCCTCGGCACGTGAACCCCTCTGCCCCAAGCTTTCATACCAATGCCCGAAGACCTGAATACCAAAACCGTTGTCTACCTAAAGCCTGAACCCCACATCTTCGACGTCGCTCTCAGGCGAATGCCAAGTACTTCGCTTGCAAGGAGGAGTTGAAGAATCGTTGCGTCCTCAGCCTCTGCTGGTGAGTTTTTCGTCTACTCTCACAAGGCTTCCGGGTTGCGGTTTCGCACCACTAGACAAGCGGCATATTGAAGTATGCTCTGAAGAGAGCGGGGACCCTAAGCCCCAGACTGAAAGCCCTGGAGCCTGCAGCATTTCACACTATTAAATTTGGGTTTAGGGTTTAGGGTTGAGGGTTTAGGGTTTAGGGTTTATTAAATTTGGGAGTGTTGCAGACGTCGCTTGGAAAAGCCAGGAGAGCTAACACGATGGATTCTGATGAGAAGAGTCACCGGAGTAAGGAATGTTGTGGGTTGTGGAAATGGGTACTTCAGTTGTAACATAGTGGGTATATACAGTACGTCACATTTCTTGCTGATTGTGGTAACCCAGGACCAACAGGGCACAGATGCTCGGCGCAGAATTTAGAACAGCTGGCTGCTCTCCACGTGCCTTTCCCTCGCTCCTCGCTCGTTCGCGCCATGGCGTGCCCGAAGCACCTCGAGCAAAGCATCGCGACGTCCTTGCGACAGCATCTGAATGTTGGCAAGGACCGACCCCAAACCTAGAACCTCCAAGCCCTAACCGCCCTAACCCCTAAATCCTACTAGAAACCCTAAACCCTGAACCCTAAACCCTAAACCCCTAAACCCTAAACCCTAAACCTGTAAGCCCTAAACGGAGAGGGCGAAGGCCGCAGACTGCCGTGGTGTGTGCTTTGTCTTTGCATGTGCAGCCCGGTGCGTGGTAGTTCCGAGTCGAAACCCACTTGGAGGTTCATGGGTAGTTATAAGTGGGGTTATAGGGTTTAGGGTTTAGTGTTTAGGGTTCTACTACTTGGAGGTTCATGGGTAGGGTAGCTATAGTTACTCCCCATATTAGGGGACTTATAACCAACTACCCCCTAAACCCCAAACCCTAAACCCTAAACCCTGAACCTCCAAGCAGGACAGCGCGACGTCCAACGAGCTCCAGAATGCCTTCGAGCTAAGCCAGGAGTTCAGCAGGACCAAGTTCCTGGGCTTTGCAGAGATTCTGGCCTTGGAGACGGACGGTTGTCGCGTAAGGTTTAGGGTTTAGGGTTTAGGGTTTAGGGTTTAGGGATTTTCAGGGTCGGGGGCACTTGGGCGCTTGCCGAGCTACCTTGCCCTCAGGGTGGGGGCCTCTGCAAGAAGCTGTCGGCCTCACGCATCCGCAATCGAAGCATGTTGCAAAAATCTGCTTCTCGATACTGCTGCATTTCATCTCATCTCATCTCATCCTCTCGCTTCCTGTACGTATGTATACACACACACACAAATGTACACGCCCGCGCGCACACACACACACACACATACACACACACACACATACATACATAGATACATAGATACATACGTACATACGTACATACGTCCATACGTCCATACGTCCATACGTCCATGCATGCATGCCAACATGCTTACATATATGCATACATTCACGCATATATATATATATATATGCATACATATGCACACCTACATATATATATATATATAATGTACACATACACATACGTATACCTTTGTCTTGCATGCGTTCTTTTACTGCGAACGTTTAACCTGACTGCTGAAACTCACCCCTGCACTACCCACAGACCGAGACGGACACTCGATCCCGAAATTTCGTAACCGCAGCCCTTCAAGCCTGCGAACATCACCCCCTCCCCCCCCCAACCCTAAACCCTAAACTAAACCCTAAACCCTAAACCCTAAACCCGAAATCCCAAAGTTCCATCCCCGAGACCCTGGGCCCTAAAGCGACAAAGAAGGTTCGACATCCTTGATCAAGCATCGGACCTTGGGCTGGAGGCCGGGCTGCAGGGTTTGGGAGGAAAGGGCTGCCAGGTGTCGTGTTAGGCTTTATGGCGTAGGGTTTAGGGTTTAGGCTTAAGGGTTTAGGGTGTGGGGTATGGGCTTAATATTTTAAAAAGGTGATTCATCGCCGAAGCTCTGTAGCCGGAGTTCTTGTGCTAATGCTGCGGAGTATGGTAGCAGGAAAGGCAGTGTTGAAAGCTGTGACAGGTCAAGGACGTCTACTACAATGCCAGCCCAGCTGTGCTGTACGAGCAGGCGTTGCGTCACGAGGAAGGCATCTCGGAGGATCAAGATGGATGATCCTCTTCGGGGTTGGGGTTTATGGTCTTCGGGGTTAGGGTAAAGCATCAACTAGGGGCCTTCATTACTGGCATAGGGTTTTTGGGGTCCCTTATGATAATTATAGTTTACTATATGCCCAAACCCCTGTTCTAACTATTAAGGCCCCTATATTATTCATGTAAATGGAAAGGCTGCAGTTCCTTTTCATAGATCATCTCGATCGGCCGGGGAACTCGAAATCCTAAACCCTAAACCCTAAACCCTAAACCCTAAACTCTATGCCCCTCATATAGAGCATAGGGGATTCTAGCACCAATCCTCCTAAACCC